TTTAGTCAATCGACTTTTTTGTCGAATTACGATTCCTATGATTCCTATACTTTGGGAAGATCCATTTTCAGTTAAATGTCGAAGAGGACGTCATTATAATTTTTTTGAAATCTATTTTTCTTATTTAATTGATGATGATAAAGCAAGATTATCGGACGTTAGAATTGTAAAACCTTTATTTAATTACCCCAGTTTTATTAAAATATTAAGCATATTTCGATTGATATTGCACACTGATAATTTGGTAAATTATTTTAATAAATCAAACTCTCATAAATTTACGTTTGTTTCAATGCGAGAAGAAAGTTACCATTCTTACCCAAGACATTCGCTATTCGTATTGCATAAAAAAGAATCAAAAATTAATTCGATTTGTATTATATTATTCAACTTATTTATAAATAGTAATGTTTCTTTAAAAAATATTTCTATATCTTGCGAAAATTCTCGAGGTATCATTAATATGACAGACATTTATAAAACAATGTTAGATAATCCAATATCAGATGTTTGAAAATATTAGCCTATGGATGAAGGAGAAATGTTTTTTAACAACTTTACCATCATTAATACCTTCAATTAAGCATCTTAGTATTTGTGCTCATACAAACAACTTAATTGCAATTCAACCACAAGCAAAACCATTATCTCTTTCACTTAAAAGAATCTAGCAAATCAATGCCGTTCGATTCGTAAAGTGTTACTTTAATACTTTAACTTTAATTAAGTTTGTTAATTGTGATTTTACAAAGGTTTTGACATTTGATGGACTAAAAAATCTCACACAACTTAATTCACTTCATTTCGATCAATGCTATGGCATTACAACACTATTTCTTCAACCATTATTGGACATTACCACCCCATTAAAAATCAAATCATTAAAAGTAGTTGGTCACTTCCCAGTTCTTGATTTATTACTTGAAAAAATTGGTTCATATTTAGAATATTTAGAATTATTCCTTAATGATGGTTATTTTGTAAGCATTATGAGGTTTTGTGATAAAATCAAATTTTTATACTTATATAACATTAATCAAAAGAATTTATTTCAGTTAAATGAGTTGATTACGCATTTTAGTAAAAGTCTTAGATACCTTTCTTTTAAAAATGATTCATTGGATCCTAATGATTCGCGAAATATTATTAGAATTGATTCAATGATTTTAAAAGTTCTGGGTCAAATATTACCAGATTCTCTGGAATATTTAAATTTAGATTTCGCATTTCAACCAAATGACTTAAAAGTCTTTTTGGATAATTGTCGTCACGTTGGATTGAAAAAACTATTAGTAAAATTAGTAAAAAACAACTATGATGATCTTATTGATGAGACTTTTAGCATTTTAAAAGAATTTGTAGTGAGTAAAAAGGTGAAATATTTTGCTTACGAACTCGCTTATCTTTTTCAACAAGGCAATCCGAAATATAAAAATTTGGAAAAGTTGGCTAGTGAAGTTCAACTTTTTGTGAAAATGAGGAAATATAGTGATTTAATTGTGACGATTTCAGATTATGATAGCACATTTTAGTTCAATCATTTATTAGCACTTATGATTATTTTTTTTATTATTTTTATTATTTTTATTATTAGTATTATTTTATATATATATATATATATATTGTTGTTTTATAGCGTTTATTATTATTATTATTTTTTTTATTACATGTATAATTTGACTAGCGGTCATTAAGTTAGCGCAATGAGATCATTTGGCCAATATTGTTCACTGGCCATATTTGTCCTCCGGCCAAATTAGTCCACTGGCCAAATTAGTTTCCTGGACAAAAATGTCCTGTTAAAATTTCACGTTAATACAGTTCATATTCGCTATAATAAATCTTATTCAATCCTTGAAAAATCCGATAATTCCTAAACACGAAAACATCGTTATTATTTCCCATTTACATTTTGATTGTAATAACCCCGAAAGATATAATTAATAAACATACCTGATTGTATAGAGTGCCGACGTTGCAGGCAATACGATATCTATGTTGTATTAGGTTAGAATTAAGATATTATTAATGAAATTAGTAAAACAATAAACACGATACCTTCTGCTTACCTTAAAACTCCGTTTATAACCCATAAACATCAAAGAACTGCTAGACAATATGATTGGTTGAAGGATATATTTCAATTTTTTTTTTATTTTTTTTTTATTTGAATACAATTTAAAATTTTAAAATAATTCCAACGCTTATTTCTTTTGGTATTTCATCAATACTGACTAATGCATCCCTCAAATTTCAATGATGAAATGCAAAACTTATGAAATTATAGTTTTAGGATTTTTTAAAGTTTAGTTTAAATAATATCAAATAAATTTTTTTAGGATGAAGTTATCATGATTTGCAGTAAAAAAAATACATACAAGAAATTCATTGCTGTACACTTCGACACGATTGAATGAATCATATTAAGATAATTTTTAAGTCTTAATTCGTAAAAATGTAAATAGTTTACAACGCATTGATCTGGAAGTTTTATCTATAGCAAATAAAGAACACGTTCGTTCAATTTTTATATTAAATAAATTAAGCTTACCATGATGGTTATGGGTGACGTTACCAATAAGAATACCGTGAAACTTTCTACGGGTGTTAATTATGATGTTCTAATGTTGTAAAACTATCCAGATTTATCTCGATCTAGACTCAATTGTTATGCTCAAAGGAAGAGTGGAAAAAAATGTTAATGAGTAATTAGTGCGTATGATTTTTCAAGGCATAATCTGTGGAAAAAGAATAATATTGATAAAAATATTTTCTTTAATTTATCAGATAGCATTTCATATAGGATTAGGTGAGTTATAAAAAAAGAGTATAAAGATAAATTAAAATTTTTTATTTTTAAGTATAACCAATGTCATAAGCTATCAATGGTATGAATTTGATAAATAAAAAATAAAAATTTGTGATATATGAAGTGGTAAAATCCGGATATATATATCATGTAATGTAATAACTATGTGAGTATGACGCTTAAATATAAACTTTTTTCCTTGTAAATTAAAAAGAATTTATAAGAATTTCCTATTACAATTGAATTGTTTCATTATAGCCGAAATACGTCTCGATTATAAAAAATATATAGTTTTTTCTTATAATAGATTTGGTAACGGGCAGTTCTTTTCCAGGGACGCTCAAATTTCTTGAATTTAACCTAAATAAATATCGGTTTAAAATAAATAATTAACTGAATATAATATGGTTTACCATAGAGGCTAATTTGTGTGTCTTATTATTTTATAATTCTCATGTTTTATAAAATTTTTCCATCAACAAAATTATTAACATATCATTTTTTTTCAATTTGATCACAGGTATGATCTGATTTAGATGAAGATTTACCGGATACTTGATTATATTTTTCTAAAAAAAAAAGTTTCAATACTTTACTTTGGAGCTAGTTTCGGATGCTTTCGAATTCCTACATTAAATAGTATTGAACATTCATCTATTTTCCAAGTTCAATTATAATTCGTTTAATAATAAATTTTTTTTTAAAGAAATATCATTCAATTGCTGGTGTATTTAATTTCTTTACGATCAATATGATTTGACACGTATAATTTAAATTTCAATTAATCATTCAAATATACCAAAAATTTTTTTAGAATAATATAGAAACAATAATTTAATCGTTTCTTATGAATGATAACAAAAATTATTTTTTTTAATATGTACTATAGGAATCTTTATTCTTTATTATAAATATTTTTTATGGTTTACAATATTTTAATTCAAATAAAAATTTCTTTTGTAATATATTCTGTAAAGTGAGAGATTTTTATTAAAAAAAAAAAATTATTTATTTATTTTGACTAAACCCTAAGAAACGTATTTGCCCCAATTTTTTAATTGTGGCAATGGTCAGCTAGGAGGTATCCCATGTCTCAATTTTTAATATGTCTAAATTTTAATTGGGCAACAAGAAACATTTTTATTCAGAAATTTCCTTCTTAATTCATCAAGTGAAGTGAGATCTTCTGTTTTCAATATATATTTACTGTTGAAGAAGCCATCATTTTTTTGACTTATTCCGCTTTGGCAAATACGTTATTACCTTCCAACATGCGTTTCAAAAATATCCCCATATTTCTGATTTATAAATTTGAACCATTCCGTTTCATCTTCAATTTGCTTTTAATGCAATGCTTAAAATATCTCCGATAGTAGACTTGGTCTTGTAAAATATTTTGATCAATTATTTCTATCTAACACTCCTAGGGTTACTATGGACAAATTTTCGAAAGTATTATATTGAATTAAGTCTGGGGTGAGGTGGTATTTCAAAGAAAAATTAAATCGAAAGAATTTTTTTTTACTGCACACCAGAAAGGGTAAACTTAATATATAAGGTCGGATAGAATTGTACATAAAAGAATATATCTGCATGTTTTACTTTTTCATTATTATTATTATCAGATCAAGAATGAAAGGCAATTAAAATTTCTATTTGCAAATTAATAGTTCCGAAGTTCAGAGCTAAGATGTTGTTACTATGTGTTTAGTCACGTAGCTCTACAATTCCTTTTTTTAAACTAGAGAACGGAATCCGTTCTAAAACCGAAGCACAATAATTATAAAAATTTTTTTATATTTATGTGACACGAGATTTTTCACGAATTTTCATTTGTAGATCACGCGGCGGACAATGCATTATTAGTCCGGACAAAAAATGAACAAAAAAAAAAAATAATAATCAATTTTAAAAACATCTCCGCTACGACAGTTTAAAAAATTTTTTTAAATTTTAAAAGAGTCTCGCTCTTACCATGGCATTCCATATAATCTTTTTTATTTTATAAATAAAAATTGTAATTCGCAGCTTCGTGTGATAAAATAATAAATTGAGTATGCATTAATGATCGCATATGGTTCATACTAACAGCATCAAAAATTTATGTTTATTTAAAAAAATTTATGAATTTTTTACTCTTTCTAAAAAAAAAAAAAAAAGTATATAAATACATATTATTAATTCAAAATATTTATGATTTTGTTCTTTGTTTTACTCTGATCGGTAATTCGGTACACGTGTTTACCATGGTATACTTTAATTTCAAAGGAGCATTCATATCTACTAATGTAATATCTAAGTTTCTATAAATTAAAGAAATTAGACACTTCATTTCCACAAGAGCCAATTTTCTCCCTGGACAAACTCTTACTCCACCCCCAAACATCAGAAACGTATTTTTTTGTGGGTCAGTTCCTATGAATCTATCAGGGTTAAATTCATGAGGATTTTTCCAATGATCTGAATTAAAATGAATTCCTTCGAAATATGCAATAAATGTCGTGTTTGCAGGCCATTCATAACCTGCCACAACATCTGATGAAGAAGAAACTCGTGAAGTGTATTTTACCGTATTTATGAGGCGTGAACATTCCTTAAATATAGCTTCCGTGTAATGCATCTTTGAAAGGTCTTCCATTGTAGGTATACGTTGATCCAAACCAAAGATCGAATCAATTTCCTTTTGCAACCGAGCCAAAACATCAGGGTAATGGCATAAATAATATATGATATAACATAATAAGTTTGCAGTGGTGTCAATACCTCCAGCGAAAGCTTCAAATAAAATTTGACCAATTTCTTCATTTTTTATAGGCTTTGAATGATCTTCATCCATATATTTTGATTCATTGATATCTCGATCGGTATTTGCGGTGATCAAGGAAGTTATCATATCATGTCTCAATTTTTCTTCAACCGGTGTTTTTTCAATTTCATTTCTTCGATGATCAATAATTGTCGTGATAGTTTCATTTATATCACGTTTATGACTAAGCATTTCTTGATTCCTTTTTTTAAAGATGGTATGCCTAATAAAAGTGGGATATGTAAGAGCAAACATTAAATTATCAAAACCTTTCTCAACATCGTCAGCAAAATTTTCAATGTCTTCAATTTCAATATTTGGCTTGATATGTTTTCTCTTTGATGGTTCAACTTTATTAAAATAAGCTGCCATTGAATTAACCTTTAACCCAATAGTCATTTGAAAAACAATTTCTGTGGTAAACCTATGAATCCATACGGAGAAATCGATCGGAGAATTCTCCCCAATCTCTTTCCAATATCCATTTAATTCATTAAATAAAATTGGGGTCCAATGTAAAACTTCAATCGAAAAGCTTGGAGCCAAAATTGCCTGCGTTAAGAATTTTCTATTGTACTTCCAAGTGCGAATATTATTATTCAATAATATCCCTTTTCCTTTAATTCCTAATTCTTCAAATGAAGGGTAATCATCCGATCGAATTATATAATTACTATTGGTAGAGGGTGACATCATTTTTTCGACATATTCTGCTTTGGCAAATACAACTCTACGATTATTTCCAACATAAGTTTCGAAAACATCTCCATGTTTCTTATTTAATATTTTTAACCATTCTGCTATTTCTCCATTTGCTTGAAATAAGATTCCTAACAAGTTACCAAGTAAAGGTAAGGGAATCTGACCTGGTAATGGATTTATTCTTGTAAAATACTTGTAATAAAATTGTGCAGTGTATATTAAAAGGAAATATATTATTATTTGTGTAAATTCTAACGCTTCAAGCGCTAATAATGCCATTGTTAACAAAAGATATTAAGGTCGAAATTATAAATAAAATCAAAATGAATTTTTACCCTATATATATGTCAGTTCGGTCCTTAATTTATGCGTAAACGGGATTAGATAATATAATATGAATAAATTGTATAGCCAACTTCCGAACGGAATTTCCAAAATAAGTTCGTTACTCCTTTGTCATCGTCCATTTTGAAAAATGGAATTTGTAACGTCATCCTCCTATTAAAAAGATTTCTAAAAATGGTAATACCATTTATAATCATGATAATTGTTCAAAATTCATTTCGATTCTTGCACGATTATATTTTTTTTTTTTCATTATATATTATATTTTTTTAAAAAAAAAAATTGAATAATTGCCGATCCGGAGCACATTTTGGGGAGATCTCTAAAATTCATAGTAAAATAAATATTAAATTAAGATTTGTAGTGTTAATTAATCAATAACAATATATAGAATTTATTTTCATTTTAAGCATTACTATTTTTAGGACGGGCAAAATAAATTTTTAGAATCTCGTGACATAAAATTTTAAATTGACACGGTCACCCGGTTTTATTTTTTATATATAAATTTATTTATATTCACTTTATATTTTTAAAGATTTAATGATAATATAATATTTGTTATATATTCTCTAAAGCGAAAGCATTCTATATGTCTTTAATATTTATAAGAATTATTTTATAAAAATATTTTATAGTATATTTAATAATTTTGAATGATTAAATTTTGATATTAACAAAGTTCAATATTATTTAAAATTGAATTATCGTCAATTATCGTCATATCTTATTTAAAATATTAAGTGTAATTTACATATTTAATTGCTATTTTAAATTTATTAAAAAGTGAAATTTATTTTTTAAAAACTTAATATTATGTATTTTTAAATTATTCTTATGCTTATATATATATTTGTCTGGAAAATAGTAAAGGGCTTAATATTCTAAACATATTCTGATATATATTTCCATCTGTCATACTTATGATAGCACGTGATTTTGAGCGGTTAGATATATATGTCTTGATCAATATTATCTGTCTATCACACACACGACTTATAACTAACAAAAAAATAAATATTAAAAAAATATGTTTTAATTTTATTTATAAGTATTTTTAAAATTAGATAGTTATTTAAGCAACAAATTTAAAAAGTTGTGTCTTGATTTTAGCTTTAAACATTAATAGTATAATTAAGTGAATTTATATTTGATTATATTAGTTTAATTAGCATTTATTTTTTTAATTCTAAACTTTTAAAGATATTAAATATTTATAAATTTTAGTAAAGTTATATTATGTTATATATTTTACAATATTTATTTATTAAATGTTATTTAGTATTTAATTATAATAAATATTTATAATAAAAATATTATAATATCTTGCTTAGTTAATTATTTTTTAACTTACAATTCAATTTTATTAAATTAAGTATATCTTTAAACATTTTTTTTAGCTTCAAATAAAGTTTTTATATTGATTAAATTTTTTTCTTCTAAAAAATTATTTATATTATTTATTAGTATTATTATTTATAATTATAATTGCTTTATAATTTGAAATTTTAATTTTTATGTAATAATTAAATTTTAATTAAATTTATAAACATATAAATAATGATTTAGAATTAGTATTTATTGATTAAGTTGTAAATAAATTATTAAAATATTTTCAAATATATCTATTTCTAAAACTTTGTTAAATTAAAAATAAGATAAAAAAACTAATAATTTTTAATATTTTTAATTTGCAATTTTAGTATAAGTTTTTTAAATTATAATTAACTTCTACTTTACAAATGATTATATAATTTCATTTTTTGAAAAGTATTTTAAATGTTACAGAAACTAGTATTTATTTCAATGAATAAATTATGTTATAATAATTTCTTAACAATTATATAGAAAATATATTATCTTTTTTAATATTTAAATGTATATAGATTTATGATTAAAAATATATATCATATTATAATATATTATTTCTAACTTTAAATTATATAGAAGTAAAATTTTATTTCTTATAAAATTAGTGATGAAAATTTTAAGATAGACAAATAAAAATGATGAAGATATTTTTGTTGATAAAGATGTAAACAGAAAATTGAATAAGTATTTGAATCATTTAAATTTGTCAGTAATATAGTTTTGTTAGTTTTATGTTTAATTTTAATTTTATTTTAAATACTTATAAATAAATATATAATCAAATAAAAAATGAATTTATGTTTAATATAATTTAATTTAATTTAAATAAAAATAATATAGTTTATAATTCTATAAAATAATCTATCAATATATTTTTTAATATTATAATAAGATTTTATGATTATGTTTGGTTAGCTCAAATGATTATCAAATAATTTCATCTGAAAAAAGTTCTTAGTTGATTAACAGTTAAATTATTGTTATTCTAATTTGGTTAGTTCAAATAATCAACAATTTGCATACGATTTAATATCATAATTCAAAAATATTTTCATATGATTTCCTTATTTTTTTATTGATTTCATTTAATAATGACTTCTTGTTATAATATTTTAAATAAATTATATTATTAAATGTTTTAATTATTTTCGTATGGAATATATTTGATTTGAAGATCATTTTTAACTTAATAACTATAATATAACGTGAATAATATTTATAACAAAAAAATTGGGTTATTTTTTTTTTATTATTCTCTAGTAAATAAATTATTAATAATAATATACTATAAATACATTGTTTAATTTACCACGATTTTTTTATCATTTTTGGAATATTAATTCCAAATTTCTACTAGATTGAATTAATCTAAATTTTGTCTAGACTGAATTATTATTTTCAAAATTATTTATCCCACAATTTTTAACAAAATAACATAATAAATATAAGCAAACATGCCCAGCGGGGCGGTTGGATGGCGAGACAATGTTTTGAAAGGAAATGACCGGTTGTTATGATAGTTTATTGTCAACGTTAACGTTAACGTCAAGATTAGTTTCGGCTAATTTCCTTTATATGCTGCCGATCCTCCGATTTTAGCATTGATTTATTATGTCAAATAAGTACTATTTCGGAGTTTTAGTTAATTTCTATATTTCCTTATTTAGTTTATTTTATTTCTAGCATTTATATTATATATTATTTTCTGTATATAATTTATTATTGCGAAAATGTGTAGTTTATATATGCATTAAAAAATTATTTACAAAAAAAAATAGAGTCCGATCGTCGTAAATCTTGGTGATAGACTTACGGATTTCTAATAAATAATAAAGATAATTTACACTTTCAACCCTTATTCGTTCAAACCTTCCTCGTGTCTCCATATAGACTCCGCTTGTGATAACCAACCTACCCAATTGAATCGTAAAATAAATTATTATTGGCATATATGCAGGATAAAGGATTCCGGAATATCGTATTGAGCATGCATCGTTACCTTGGTTTCGGTACAATTCCAGGGGCTAACACCGTCCATCAGTCGCGAATAATTGAAGTGAAAGTTTATTATAAAAGACTTCGTTCCGCTTTATCTTTTCGATAGTAACGATTGAATTAAGAATAACCTTTTCTCTCAGACTATTACAATGCATTAATAGTTGAATTTTTTGTATTTTATTAATATAATCTTTTCCTTTTCTATTCATTTCGACATTCGTCCACTTTTCGTTAACATTGTAAAATATTGATATTGTTCTAAATAAATAACATTTAATACACATGACCTCCTAAAACTACTAAAAATGAAATTTGAAGGTAAAATACTCAATCTCAAAACGTTGTGTTTCCCAAAAATGTTATATGTGATGTTATAGGTCTTGATTTAAAACACAAACCAAATGAGTCAAAATCCTTGTGTTGTTTTAAATCAAATGCAACTATATTCATTGGCATGGAGATACCTTTCAAGCTCCATTCAAGATCCAATCCAGGTTTTGTAACATGATTAAAATAATTGAAAAATAATAATAATCGTTTGAATTGGAAACGAAATTTTAGCATGGATATATAACGTTGCTAATGCTAAATCTATTCCTAATAATATTTTTAAGTGTCTTATGGAGATTTTATTTAATCTCGAATATCTGATGTTACTTATGATGATGATGATAAAATTTTATGCAATCAATGTGAAACCAAAATGCTTGAGGTTCATCTAAAATCTCACCATCGAATGAATCAGGTAATGAAAATTCTAATTCATTTATTGGGGTACTAAACGATTGACGCTTAAGTGATGTGACGTTATAAAAAAAAATTTGTAGAAATAATTTGATATATCACATTGATGCATTTAATTGATATTCGGACGAATAAAATATAATAAAAAATTGTCTAATTTTGGAAAGAGATATTAGTTTTATTTCGATCTATTACTTATCTACCATAATTAATAAATAGGTACTTCCTTTTTTACACTAACTGGTATCTAATATTTTGCGTAAATAAAGGCCGATAAAAATCGACATGAACTTATTTAGGCTAATAAACATGATATAATAAATATCTAATGAACTTTGTATTTAACAAAAAAATTCAGAATTTAAAATATTTTATATTTATGAGAGATTGAATCTATTTTTATAGATCATTTCCTTATTAGTCGAAATAAACTGTCGGTCTTTTTCTCCGATCAACTTTTTTATTTAACTATTTTTAGCTTAATCAAATCATTTATAGACAAATTTGGTATAACACGAATTTACATTGTTTATTAAATGCGGGAAATTCAAATGTTCATTATTTTTTTTTTTTTATAAAAATGTACTTTGTCGATTTATTCAATCAACGTCGTCGAAAGACAGAACCTAAATTTGTTCATATCTTAAGAGCATGTATAATACTATTATTATTAGCTTTACTTTTAGCATACATTATATTTTTGATTATTGAAGTGATTAATAGTGTGCCAGCTATACAGTTTTCAATAATTGAAACTAATGAAATTCCATTTCCCGGTAAGTTCAATATTTATGAAAATGATTGGTATCGGATATCCTTATTAAATAATGATAATTTCAGATATGGGATTTTTCGCCAATTTTTCATTCAATATTGAATGTCAATTTAAAATAAGTATGAAAATCTTTTTTTTAAAAAATTCAAAAAAATTTTGAATATTAACTTATAAAATTTATAAAATAGATACCGGTAAAATGATTGAAATAATAGATAATAACTGTAACAATTCTTTTATACAACCCCAACAGTTATGGGATGATCCCCCCGGATATTTTGGATACTTTATAAATAATAATAATTTAAAATTTACAAAGAATACAAAATCTGGCAATCAGTTTATTGAAATAAAGTTATCTGCTAATTCATATGGTGATTTTATTGAAATTTACCTTATTGATACAGGTAAATTAATAAAAGTTATATTTTCTATTTAAACTTTGATGAAAAATATTAAAATACAATATGTATTTTATACATAGAATTTAACCCCTTAAAATTACAAGATGGTAAAGTTGATTTAGAATCTATTCAAATTATTGATCACATTAGAGAATTAGTCGCAAACAATAAGTATTATCTTGTCAATAATCAGGTAATTGTTTTTATACTTTTAATTTTAAAAAAAAATGTTTATCTTATAGTTTCATTTAGGTTTCATATATAGGATTGACGAGAAATCAACAGAAAAAAATTCATTCAAGATTCAGTGGTATTCTTGGAGTCAGTCCATCTTATAACAACCTACATCGTATTGTATCCAACTTTCGTAAGTAAACATTAATCATTCCGCTTATTACTTACTATTAAAATATTAAGAAGATTATACTTTGAAAAATACGTCTCAGAGAGCTTACCCTTTCCTGCAGCACCAAGTACCGAATATCATAGTGCTGTTGCTATAAACGTAGCAAGCTTCCGTATGCAAGTGGAGACTGAACAAAGGTATGTTAGAAAACAGTTAATTACTTAAAACAAAAATATTAAATTTATAAAAATTTCTGCTACAATATTTTTAGAACACGGACTGTAAGTTTCATTGAGTATTTATTATAAATAAGCCAATTTAAAGTCAGTATCAATTTAATAACCTCTTATTACATTTTTAAAAAAAGTTGCTCGGTATAGTTGGCCTTATGGGCGGTGCATGGGGCTTGGCTTCGGCATTGTACGCGGCTCTATTTGGTAATCTTAATTTTAGTTTTCTATTTTTTCTTAAAAAGAAAGAAAGCATCGTGCCTTATTTCTTAATTTTGCAATAGGCGTGGATATGATTCGTCCTTGGGGTTGTTTGCAGTCTTATTGTGGATTAAGACGTAGAACATATAATAAATTTAAAAAAAGAATTCCAGTACTTCCATTAATCAATTCCTCTTCCTCAATGACGGAGTTAAATTCTAATTCTTTAGATGTTAAAGAATTACGTGATCACATAATTTCTCTTGAAATATTCTTAAAGGAATATGTTGTAGATGTAAAATTTTTGGAAAAATCAGAAAATATAGTTCAAAATGATAGGAGTGATGACAAATAATCGTCGACTTACTCTTGATATAATATTAAGTTGCAAGAGCATTATCAATGATTTTTTTTTAATTCTTTATCGGGTAAAGATAGGTTTGTAGATAACAAATAAATATTCAAAGTATTTTTTATTTTCTTTTACATTAATTAAATAAAACGATAGTTGTATATATTATTTATCAACAGTATTAATATATGGGGTTTCTTGGATACTAATTCAAAAAATGGCAAAAAATCAACGATCCCATTGCGCAAAAAGTTTCTCATTAGAATGTTCCAATTATGAGGTTTGTCTAGAATCCTTGATGTGTGCAAAGAATATTATTAAATGTATATGCGCATTTTTTTTTTTTTTTGGTAAATCATCATTAATGCAGATTTTGTTATCATTGCTCTTTTGAACAGTTCTTATATCGTTGCAAAAAAAATCATTTTTAAAATTGTTTTAATACAAAACAGCTCACAATACCCAAAGAACACAAGTTACTTTAAATTAATCATTTGGAATTACATGACATCTCAAAATAGTATAAATTATCTATCTTGATTCTTCAATAAAATTTCTCGTTAACAAATTCGTATTATAAAAAGTTAATATTTACACATTAAAATTTTGAAAGTTCACATAAATTGTTATAAACTCTTAAATTTAACTAACTTTTGTCATTAAATCATTATTGCAACTTTTGAAAAGCCAGCTAATAATTGCCAAAAAACATATTCAATAAACGACTATAGTTTGATACTTGTTTTCAACAAATGAGCAAATGTCAAATTAACTTACTAACAACTTTATACAATTTACCTTAGTCTGATTTTGAAATAGAGGTTGAATCCAGTTAGGGATTATAGGCTATTTTATAAAATTATAGAAACGTAGTATTATTTTTTTTATAATTTATTACTATTATTATTTATTTTTAGATCACTTCTATAAAGTATATGGCTATCTTAAGGTTAAAGATTAAAATCAAAATTTTATATATTATGAAAATACTAATCATTAAATAAAAGCCCAGAACGAACAATCACTTTATATCAGCAACATTTTCAAAATATCTCTGATCATAATTATTACATTTACATTTAATAAGTCTAATTGACATGTACATGAGTTGATTAATAATTTTTGCAATAAATTAATATTATAAAAAAAGCTGATTTCTATGTTCGCTCACCTCACACTTGCGCTGTTTAAATGAAAATGGATTTGATTTTTGAATTGTTTTGTTAAGGTTATTTTGAACCCCATTCGTGCCGATTTCATCCATTAAGAATATAACTCATCTTTATCATCACAGGGATCGTGTAAATAACGGAAATAAACGTTCCGAGTTGATACATCAGTGGATATTTCAAATGACAAATTATCTGCATCATGGCCGTAGCATGATATTTTCACTCTAACTTAACTTTCTTGCATTTACTTAAGGGTCCTCTATTTTATCCATATTAAAATATAACTAGTTTATAGTTTTACCAAATTTTTTTATTAAAAAAACTGCAAAAGTTTCGAAAGTGGTAATAAATTTTAATGGATGTTAAAGTTTTCGACGGTTAAATCATTATTAATTCTATAAATTCAATGTGAGGTTATGCATAGTCACAAAGAAAATTTTATTTTTAGTGACGCGGTATATATTATTTTATTAATAATTTATTGATGGGAAATTTTTATTTTTATAAGATAAATTAAATATAAAAACGTTTCGTTTGTACATTTAAATTTTGTAATATAAGATAGAATTATTAACGATCAGTTTTTTAAGTTTGGATATTTTTTAGGGTTAATAATTTATCATGTTAAATAAAAATCCGTTTATTATTTATCAATTGCATGTCATATGAATATTTCATATATTCTACATATTATTTTAAAAAATTTGCCTTTTAAGAAAAAATTCATTTTGATAAGTATATAAAGAATGATAAAAGATTTTAACTAATTTATACTTAAAAGTTAATTAAACATTTATTTTTATTCTCTGTAATGTTGCCAAATTGTATTCGTTTCTTCCTTTAATAAAGAATTATTTCAAATCATAAAATACTTCACATCCTTAAATAAATAAAATTCCATCTCAAAACATTTATATAATCGAATGATTCATATGCCATCAGGAATTTCCAATTCATCCTGTTCTTCTGAATGAAGATTTGAATTATTATATGATTCATTCTCACCATCTATAAAATAAAGAATTAATATAATATATATATTATTATAAATTTAAAGTGATACTACTTACCATCATTTTCAATATTATACTTCTTTATATGCGTTGCTTCGTTTTATAAGATCAGTTAAGAACAAATATCGAATAAATAGCTTTACAATTGGTATAAAATTTCTACTTACCATAATTTGAATTTATTCGTAATTTTTCAGATATTTTGGATAATTTTTTACTACAGCCTAATTGTTAAATAAAAATTTAATGTAATTAATTTTTAATATATTAAATATTTTTTTATTTTTTTACCTTTAAAAAGCCTGATTTTTGTTGATGAGGTTTTATTACTTGAATTAGTAAAATCATCCACTAAATATGAGAAATACAGTAGTTAATAAATATTAATTAATAACTTAAAATATTAATACTTACTATCATCAGGAATATTAAAGTCGTATGGTTTACTATGAAATGCTTTTATGATTAAGAAATATAATAATTTTTTTAAAAACCTAGTCTTAAATAAAATTTGATAATATTAAAACAGAAAAAAATTACCTTCTTGCTCTTCTGTTTTTATTAAAAAAGAGATAAATTTAAGTTATATATTGTGAAAAATCATAGATATTAATTGTTAAAAATTTACCTTCAGTTGCATTCCTTGGTTCAGGAAAATTTTCAAATTTATAAACTTTACTTGAAAATAATTTGCTGTTTTTATAATAAATAGTTAGATTATTATCTTTTGTATTATCATTTGTATTTTGTTGAGATAAATTAATTTTCTTAAAGAACTTTTTAATAATACTTTTTTTTTCATCTGATTTATAATATAATTTATTCA